TGGATTGACATTTTACTTAACTGCGATTGGCTCCTTGGAGAGAATGAACCGGCCTAAATGATGTTTCTGATCACTCCTGCTCACTAGGGACACTTAGCCGCAAGGTCCTTTCAGACGTCTACCCAGCTGTAGCATGGATGACAGCGTTTAGAAAATACAATCATGATGTTTTATGAGTGTTTGGTATGAGAGACGTCCACAGCGTCACCGGGAAGTTTTTCAAGGGTGCACCTCTGGCCTTTGCACAACTGAATGCTCGTTGGGTTAATATCCCACTGCCTTGTGGGTCAGACTTTTGTGTCAACGGCTCCAGTTAGAGTTCCCAAAGGAAAACCCCTTCTGCGATGTAAGCAGCCGCGATGTATTATTTGCCCAGAGGTCTCCAGCAACCCCTCCGTAAACACTTCTTATCTATCTGCGCCTCGTCCTTCACATTCTAATTATATGTGGATACGAGAAGCCACAATGAGTTATAACTGGGAACTATCAACTCTCGCTCAGGGTAAAAATTTAGAGATAGGGAAAAAAGATAGTCGATTCTCCGACCTCAGCAACCTTTTCACTCAGCTGCTTTCAAAGTCCACACACCTTACCAAACGGGGCAACAGGCTGCCTCACCTGAAACTCTTGAAAATTTCAAAACAGATGTATTTTGTCTCCGAAAAACGCATACAAGACCCCACATTAGTGTTAACACTTCGTTGCCCAAATAAACTCTGTTTCTCAATTCACTCTTCGTGTGTGTCGGGGTGTTTCAGTGTCTAGTGCTCGTGGTCAGGCTGGCGTTGGCATCGTTCTGAGCATGAAGGCTGAGCGTGTACTGCTCGACTGGATCCCAGTTAACAGTCGTTCGTGTGCAGTTAGACTGGACGGTTTTGTATGTGTTAACAGCAATAGACTGGAGCGCCGTGTCTGTGTACGTCCCAACTGACTGTAGCTCTCCTAAGGTTAAAGGCGAATCCCACCAAGATTTGTCTCAACTGCTAGGCAATGTGCTCTACAGACATCATGGTTCTTGCTCGTGATTTCAATGCTCAAGTTGGAAGCCTAGAAGAGACGGGAACGCACATAGGAGGCCGATTTGGCGTTCGAGTCGATCGAACCGACAATGGTGACCGACTGCTCCATGTTCCGACCATAGACTATTCCTAGCGAATGGAAATTTCTCGCACAAGAAGCAGTGCCAACTAAGATGGCGTCCTCTTGAGCCTTCACAGTGTTGGACCCAGGTCGACCAAATTGCTATGGGTTACCGCTGACGCGGATCAATTCAAGACTGTCAATCATTTTGGTCTGCTGACACTGATTACGCTCTTGTCCGTGCGCGTTTCAAACCACGTCTCGTCGGTGGCCGAAACAAAGATAACCATTAATCTGCTTTCCACATAGAATTATCCGCTAGGTTATCGATGAAGCCGAATACCCAGGATCTAGAAGAGTCATGGACAGAGATCCGGCAGACTCTATTTGAGGTTGCTAATGCTGCTGAAGGTCCAACAACCAGACACAAAGAAACGACGGCTATCTGCATCCTCAGTTGCACTGTTAGATGCTGGCGGATCGATCCCTCCGGACTCCAGATATGATGAGGCACGGAGATGCCTTAAACGTTAGCTGATTCGTAGCCTGGGAAGCGACCGTGAGTAGTGGTGGATTGCGAAGTGCAAGGAGATGGGGGAAAATGTGGCGATTGGCAATAGCCGCAACCTATTCCGTATAATCAGAAACACCAATCCCCGAAAGCCAGGCCTCGATGAACTAATCAAAGGGACGAACGGCTCACTGATTCGAACTTAGCAGCGTCGTCTAGTTCGTTGGGCGGAGCATTTCGAGCAGTTCAACCGACCTTTATCCACGACAGGTCTGCTTATTAGGGCGATGGTTACAACCGTGGGTGAAGATAGCAATCCTCCGTGAAATAAACGACCTAAAGCGACATCGAGCTCAGTTTCAGTTTCAGTATATCCAACCAATAACCTCGCACTTCTGTACTTTGGTTTCAATTGCTACCGTGCAGCATCATCAAGTCAAGGGCGAAAATGGTAGAGGCGTAAAGTGAAAAAATCAAAGTAATAGGCGGAAATTACGAAGACGAAGAAAGAGTTCGAATGCAACTACGCCACTGACCGCGACACCTAACCCTGTCACTTAATGTCTCTAACCACTTAGTAGGCGGATCACCTGGAAGTCTAACACGTCCTACTCGGCCAAGTCCACTGGTCAAGGTTTTCATACCTTTTTGCCATGTCATGGACTGACCACCTCAACCTACCTTCCAATCACCACCTGCCTCAGAGAACCGCGTACGCTGAGGAAGTCTATCGGCGGACATGCGTAACACATGTCGCAACCACCTTAACCTGTTTAGATCCAGCACTTGATCCAGAGACTGACCTGTGATCTCCAACACCTTACGTCTAAGCTCAGCATTGCTGATACGTTGTTCCCACCATACTCGGGAAATGTTACGGAGACATCGGCGCTCAACCACCGACAATCTTTGCATATCTTCTACCCTCAGCGGTCGTGTTTCCGAGCCGTATAAAGGAACGGATCTAACCGACGCATTGTACACTCTACTCCTAACAGACAATCGGATGTCACACCAACGCCACAGATGACGGAGGTTGGCAAAAGTCAAACGCGCCTTCTCTATACGCGATGACACTTTATCTGATATCAGTCCACTTGGTGAAATGTAACTGCCCAGACAACAAAATTTATCCACTTCAACTGGAGCTTCACCTGCCAACACAAGGTTTGGCGTTGAGCCAACCCAGTCCTGCAACAGCATTTTACACTTTGAAGGTGTAAAACGCATTCCAAGTATTCCTACACTGTTGTTTCGGTCATCTAAGAGAGCATGCAACTAACCTGAATCTTCACTCAGAATAACAATATCGCCCGAGTATTCCAGGTCAGACAGTTTACTGTCTGATAAAAGTTCGATGCTGCTATTCTCACACGAAAATAGGGCTATCTCACGAATTAATTCAACCACAAAACTGAAGAGGAAGGGTGAAAGAGGGCAACCTTGACAAACACCACTTCTCATAGTGAACTCGAAAGAAAGATGGCCGTAAGCACGAACTCGGCTTCGGCTGTTTGTATACAAGCATTAGAAAAGAGAAATAAACTACTGGCGAACCCTTCAGTGGGAGGCAGCGCCGGAGAACTGTGCGGTCGACTGAGTCGAACGCCGCTTTCAGATCAAGAAAGACAAAGATGGTGGGCCTACGGAACATGTGCCTATTCTCTAAAGTTTGCCGAAGAGTGAGGATGTGGTCGATACAACCACGACCGGGTCTGAAACTAGCGAAGGTGTTTGGGGCATGTGTGGCGCATACCGCTCTGTAGGATTCCTCGGAGCGCAGTGTAAGCTGGGACGAGTGTGGGTTGGAAGATGAGTGTGGCTGGTCAGTCCATACCATGGAAGAATCGTATGGAATGCCTAACAAGTGGATTCGGTCATGTAGGTCGAGTTAGACTTCTCTGATGGGGTCCAAGAAACTCTCCTAGTCAGTGGTTAGAAGCGTTAAGAGGAAGTGGCTAGGTGTCGCGATCAGTGGCGCTTGCGTAGCCACAGTCTCTGTCAGTTTCATACAACTATTTGTGGCACTCATGTATTTCATTTCGTGCTCGTTTTTTTCGGTAGTTACTTTTTGGGGTTGGCGCTTGAGGATAGCAAGCAAAGCTACCGCGCGTAGGGCCTGGTTATGGTTGTTTATCTGAACGGTGCCGAGGGGCGGACTGCAAGGCAGGGTCGTGTTGATTCTTGGTTGTCACGGCCTTCCTAGGAGCTCGTTCGCCATTCGATTGAATCGATACCTCCTCAGAGGTCCATATGGCCGTGTTAATTCGACCTATTTCCCCCACAACCTTTGAGTTATACAGGTAATCCCGTACGGCTTTCCATGGTTTGTTTTCGCTTGTCGAACACCGTCTCACGGAGGTTTTTATACCTCGGTTACCGTCTACTTGGTGTAGCTCACTTGTCGAACGGTTTTCCGGGACCGACGAACATCAATAAAACCTAGACGGTTATGCAGGTCATATGGTCGTTTAATTGTAACTTATCTCCGCTTTTCTGCTGACATTAATAATCGACAATTGTTTATCTTTCACTTCAACCCCACTTCCAATCCACTTGAGTACTTGTTGAAAAAGAAGAGCGTGTCCACTGGATTTAGCCATTTGGAGCGTGCTGGGCTTCAGGGATGCGATCAGTTCAGTTCATTGGATCATGAACCTCACACTTCTGTGCTCTGGTTTTGGTTGCTACCTTACAGCGTCGTTCATTTGAGGACAAAATAAACAGAATCATAAAATAAAAATGATCCGAAGGTAAAGTAACAAGCGGAAATCACGAAGGCAGAGAAGGAGCCCAAATGCAAAAACGACACCGGTCGCGACATCCAGCCATGTCAGTAGTTTTTTCGAATCGAAATAATCCTTAAAAATATATCCTACGTCGACTAAACTCGTACAAGTATCCACAGTATGAACGTTGGTCGTCAGTCTTCAGTGTTCTCCATTTTGAACATTCGAAACAACTAAATTGTTTAGCTTCGAGTGTAGTAAACTTGTTTAGTATCTTCCCCCTATGTATACTGTTTCCGAAGATTTCTGAGTATTGAACGCAAATTTCCGTTAGACTTAGTTTAATTCCTTTCAACGTGTTACGTGTCTTGTCGGGAATCGTTTGCGAATAATTTACACGTAAGGTTTTGATGCACCTCACGTATCGTTCATTCACTGATTGGTTTAATTGCTATTGCCACCAAACTATGCGATCCTGTTTTCAATGCATCATTTCCAGAGATAATGTACATAGGTATTCAGTCATATCTCGTTTAGCATTTGCACTTCTTATGGGGTCAAGATTTGATCTGTTACTGACGGGATTGTGAGCGCGCTGGTTTGGAGGCAACGGTAATCATACAGAGCAGTCGTTTGACTTGGGTACCACCATCTCTTGTTATTTCTGATGCCACCTACAGGTTACAAGCAAATTGAAGAAGTTTGCCGAAGATAAGCGCATGGTTGGCGTCAACGATAAGACATCCATGCGTGATCTAAGCCAGATGCTGAAGAAAATGCCGCAGTATCAGAAAGAATTGTCAATGTACTCAACCCACTTCCATTTGGCGGAGGATTGCATGCACACTTATCAGAATCACACAAACAAGCTGTGCAAAGTTGAACAGGTACAGCCATTTCTTCCAATCTTCCCATTCCTCCCCTTTGCTTATCCATAACTTATATTTATCTTATCCGTTGGTATTCGTACTTACCTGTACCCGAGAGTCTATACGATCTTATTGATTGCTGTCATGTTATAAGTGTTTCATGATTCAAATGAAAAGCTCATCATTGCGCTAATACGTCCACTAAATAAAACCGTGATAAGTAAGATAGTATTATTGAAGACGAACTCTGCTTCGAGTCAGCTGTGCTCAACAATTTGAACCCAACCGCTCTGAACGGGCTAATTTTCATTAGAATCAAAATTAACTACTCACCACTCACTACTATGATTCTGACTTTTGTCTTTCAACGAGACCGGGAGGTAGAAAATAGAGGAGAACAAGTGTGATTAGAAATATTTGATGTTCGGCAATATGAGAGTTTTGACCGTCTGGTTCCCGGTTATCCATAATAATGCAGTGGTCCCTTGTTACCATGGGATATATCCTTTCCATTGCACTTATGCGTAAGCAAGTAATTAAAAAACAGTGAAAGCGACCTCGGATGAACCTGTTTATTTCACCCAACCCAAGGGCGATTATGCATTCTTCCGGCGGCGCTCGGATGAACTTACGGATAACAATGAAGGTTGAGGATCATAATTGCCTTCAGTGAGTAGTTGACAGCACGTCTACTGAAAAAAAAACTACCGAAACTAATGCAATCACAAAACAAATGAAAATAAAATAAAATTGCTCAATGAATAAATGAGCTTGGGGAGAAAACATTTTCACTACTACTTTGAATCTTCGTCCACTGAAAAAAGCACCTTGATTGTAGTCGGCGCATCAAGATATCCTACTTTGATGTTGATATCGGCTGCTCAACCGCACGTTGATAAGAGTCCACAGCTTCGTTGCTGTGCGAAATGACGAGTCTTTGTGTCCGTTAGTTTTCTAACTACGTGGTGAGTCCTGCCCAGTGAATGACATTGTACTCGGATCACTCGCCGTGTTCAATTCCTGAGTGTCTCGGGTTGTGAAAATAGTTGATATCAGTTTTGTTCTCAGTCGGCTTTTCGGACTGATTGGTTATGGTTCAGGAGTTGGAAAATATAGCTTAAAAGCGAAGCCAGGTGTATGACCTGTATTAAGTCCGTTTGACGAATATTTGCTAACGTAGATTTACTTGGAAGTAAGTCAGAAGCAGCCATTTGATGAGAAATTCTGTTCTATAACTATTCTTTGGTGTTGTTCAGAGTTGGCATCACGCCTGAATTTCCACTGCTACGATTTTTGTGGCTCACTGCTTTAACAAGTCTGTTATTGCGTTGTTTGTGCTTGCGGTGAAATTATCAACTACTATTGTGAATCTTTTGACTTTCACATTCTGTTCATTTTTAATTTTCCGTCAAATAGGATTTGGCTATGGGCACGGATGCAGATGGTGAACGAATTAAAGATCACATGCGAACTATGGTTCCTATCCTCATTGATCAATCTGTTTCTGCGTACGATAAGCTTCGTATCATCTACCTGTATGTTGTACAACGTGGCGGGATCAGTGAGGAGAATTTGGCAAAATTGATCCAACACGCACAGATCCCGTCCGCTCAGGCGTGCATGATTCGCAATTTGGCTCACTTAGGTGTCCCGGTCATCCAAGATGCCGTTGGTCCGGTGAGTGCTCGGAGAGCAATGGACTGCGGTCCAACATAAGTCTTGTGACAAGTGTTTCTATTTCTAATATCTGAGATTTTAATCCACACGAATATACCTTGTGTAAAGCAGAATGTCGTATAGTTGCAGCTGAGTCTTGTTGTTCGCATCATAAGTCTGACATTTTTTTTGATAATAAAGTTGCCTTGACCTCACCAATCAGCGTTCTTTTTCACGTCATTGTCCACCATTTCGCGAAGTCGAAACAGTTTTATTCGACGACCTTTGAAGTCTTAAACTCATTGTTGATCTTTTGCTGTTTGTTTAGTAGTGATTGGCAGTGCTACTCTCGAGCTCTTATCTCTGCCACTCGGTATGGCGTGGTTGTTTCTTACGTGCCACTGCCATACATATCGTTGGATTATTTGTACCTACAATGTTCCTTCATGTATGTGCTCGCCTGATGTGATATGCCGAATTTCTTTATTTCTGATAAACCCCGGTTTATTCATCCTTCTTCGACCCGGTTCGTTTGTATCGATGGTACAAAACTTTCAAGCTTCTCAAGATGAAATGTGCAAGCAGCACTGATTAGATGGGGGATCTGCGAAATTCGAATTTGGGCACGGAATTTTAACCGCGTTCGCTGGTTGTCTCGATTATCACTTTTGAAATCCATATCGTTCGTGTTCAGGGTCCCACCGACTAGTGGTTTCACATATTACAATGGTATCAGGCATCAGCCATCACGACGAGACTGCACCTTGACGTGGTGTGATGGCTTACGCACCTCTATGACCCAGAGAGCTATACAGGATGGCTTCTTTAAGCCGGAGATGCAATCATACCCGACAGGTCAATGGGTAGAGGTCAGACAAAGTTCAGTCTCCTGATCCTCCAGGTTGGGGGTTGATTTGAGCTGGCAACTCAATCGGCAAATCAGTGGAAGAATAATTGATCCAAGCAAATGGGCTTCCACTAATCCATCCCGCTGCCTTGTGGATAGGTTCTTGTTAGAACTAAAGGCTTTGGACGAGGACCCTAATCGTTCACCTGCTTTGTGACTGGACACCCTAGCAGTACCCTTCCAACATATCCCATGAACTGCACGAATACAAAGAATTCCATACTGCATCGGTCGTCGCGCAGGATAATCAGGACCGCGCTGTCCATTGCATCGAGCGGGGTGGGTAGTGATAAGTGGGCTACTGCTCAGAGTTCCCTCTCTTTTATTGAACCTTTGTCTTCTGTCCCTAACCACCCCTCTTTGCCCCATCTATCCACCCATAATGCTCCCACTGATAACACGGTTGATACTCTCTACGATTCAATGTCAAATAGTGTCGGGAATAATCCTCTGTCTGGTAACCCACATTTCCTCAAGCCTCGTTAGCTTCTGAATCTCGGCTCCACCAACGGGCGTACACTCATGCAGGTCGGTCAGCAGGCGTGCCTAGCCCTCACAATAGATTCTCTGAAGATTGATGTCAGCTGCGTAAGTGAAAGACATACCCAGGATTCGAGCAGTGTAATTCAACTAACTGCTCCTGGTATCTCATCGAGGTATTTTCTGCGCACTTCAGGAGACGAAGTAGCTCGAGCTACGGGCCAACGCGGTGTAGAAATGGTCTTGACTGAGAAGGCTGAGGCTGCCCTTTTAGACTGGATCCCTGTTAACAGTCGTTTGTGTGCTGTGAGACTCCAGAGGTCAGTTGGCGTTCGAAAGGATAGTTGTGTTAAGCGCAATTTGTTTGTGATCTTGACGTACGCCCCAACGGACTGCAGCTCAGACGCGCAGAAAGATGAATTCTATGATGAACTCGCCACCCTCGTTCGCAGCAGTAAAGGTTCTGACATTGTAGTACTAGCTGGTGACTTCAATGAACAAGTTGGCAAGCTCAGTGTGTCAGAAGCTTGTTTAGGTGGGCATTGTGCTTTACCCGCTGAGCGTACATATAACGGGGATAGACTTCTCCAGTTTTGTGCAGACAATCGATTGTTCTTGTCTAGCACAGATTTCCGTCACAGCTCGCGTCGGACAGCGACATGGCGCTCTAACTCTACAGGTACTCTAAGCCAGATTGATCATATCGCCGTAAGCTACCGGTGGCGCAGTTCTGTTCAGAACTGTAGATCTTACTGGTACACGTACGTAGAGTCGGACCATGCATTAGTTTTAATGCGATTATCTCTCCAGCTCCATGGTCATCGTCGCAAACAGCAAACCCGAATAGGCGTACAACGTTTGAGTGATCCAGAAGTACGCACCCGGTATGAGCATAAGTTGACACATGAGCTAGGATCTACGACGAACAGTGATGTAGATAAGCACTTGGCTCATATCAAACAGGAGATGCACTTTGCAGCAGGTTTTGCCTGTGATCCTAGATCCGTTGTCCATCAAAGACACTGGATCTCGCAAGAGTCGCTGAGTATAATGGAGCAAAAACGTCAGCTCTCGAACTGTAAGGAGATGAATAAGGTACGAAGACATCTGCAGAAGCAAGTTACGAAAAGCCTTAAGAATGATCGCGAAAATTGGTGGGTCAAGGTAGCCGAAGAAATGGAAATAGCAGCTGATTCAGGTAACAGTCGAAGATTGTTCAAACTTATTCGTGACACCGGTGGATGGCGCATCCGGGTCAGTGAAACGATTTGCGATAGAAATGGAGAACCCATTCATAGCAAACAGCAAAGGCTTGACCGTTGGGCCGAATACTTCAAGGAACAGTTTAGCTGGCCGCACGCTAGTGCAGTTATTCCCGTGTCAACAACTGCGACTCTTTGGGTGGTATCACTTGAGCCCCCATCAGAAGTAGAAGTAGAGTCATGTATTCGATTACTAAGGTGGGGGAAAGCGGCAGGTCCCGACGAACTTCCTCCAGTTCTTTTCAAACTGGGTGGTGAGGCGTTGATAAAATCACTTACCGCCTTGCTCCGTGACATTTGGAACGAGGAGCGTATTCCGGTAATATGGAGTGAGTCGTTGATTGTTCCCATCTTCAAGAAGGGAATACGAAGTGACTGGTAATCGTCGTGGGATTAGCTTAATTCCGACAGTCACCAAAGTATTAGCTTCTATTTTTCTGCACCGTCCTACCCCCACTCGCGAGAGGAATGCCTGCAAACAACAGGCTGGATTCCGCCCAGGTCGAGAATGCGACGACCAGATTCTTACTCTTCGCCGACTACTTGAAACGCGTCACACGCACCGCCGACCGACAATAATGATTTTCTTAGACTTAAAAGACGCTTTCGATTCAGTTGATCGATGAGCGCTTTCCAGTGCTCCTCATCGAAAAGGTATGCCCCAGAAGTTCGTGAACCTAATGAGATCATTGTATTCTCATACTTCTGGCCGCGTTAGAGTTTACGGTGAACTATCCGGTCGGTTCGAACCGACAAATGGTGTTCGACAGGGATGTCCCATGTCTCCATTCCTGTTCAACTTCGTCATGGACAAAATAATGGAGTGTGCGATGCAAAATCTTCAGGATGTAGGCGTCGAACTAGGAAATAGTGGAGAGCTATGTGACCTAGATTACGCGGACGACCTTGTCTGCTTGTTCGAATGCACGGAACATGCTCAACGTGCACTAGATAGACTTTCAAGAGCTGAAGCTTCATTCGGCATGCGCTTTGCACCTTCAAAGTACAAGGTGATATTACAAGACTGGACGTCAACAATTCCGAGCTTGATGCTCGATGGGGAGGTGCTGTCAGTTGTCGACCATTTCACCTACCTTGGTAGCTGCGTGACGACGGATGGGAGTACTGTAGTAGAGGTGATCACGCGTATATTCAAATCCCGAACGGCGTACGCTGGACTGAAGCACTTGTGGCGCCGATCCGATATTTCACTGAAGTTGAAAGGTCGTGTATACTGTGCTGCAGTGCGTTCAGTTTTGTTGTATGGTTGCGAAACTTGGAGTCTGCGTGCTGAAGATATTCGTCGTTTTGAGGTTTTCGACCATCGATGTTTACGTAGTATCTCTAAGATCGGGTGGAATAGCCGAGTAAGTAATGATGAGGTCAGAAATCGAGTATTGGGTGCTAATTCGGAGAACGTTTTGTCACAGCGTATCCAACTCAGTAGACTTCATTAGTTGGGGCATGTGGTACGTATGTCAAACACACGTCTACCGTACCGTGTCCTGATCTCCGTTCCTCCTCAGGAGTGGAAAAGACCACGTGGAGGTCAACAGATGACGTGGCAGCGAGGAATGAAAAATTGTACAACTAACTTGGAGAGAAGTAGGCGCTTCACGTCTTCGTGGTTGGGGCCCAAAAGATCCGTCTACCAGTTTGCTGGAGATACTAGAGGGTATGGAAGCGAACCGTGAACAACTAGATCGTGTTGTCACTTTCTATCGAATCAGAATGACTGATCGGTGTGGGTTTGTACAGTTAGACTGCGTATTCCGTGTGTTGGCTACTAGGGCATTCTTTCCTTTTCCCGCCCGTGTAGGTCCACCCCCTATCCATCTTGTATATTCATACTTTCTAATTCAACGTGCAACATGGTGAGAAAGGCAGTGGTCAGTGGGGCTTGCCCTAATGTTCAGCGCTGTACGATGATGATGGTCCTCGAGTAAAAATAGCTACTGTGGACTGGACGACCGAGTAGCACAATAGCCCACAGCGTCAACAACAATGTAACAGATGGATATCTTACACGATCGTTACGCTCGTCATAAACATGCTCGTGCTGATGTAATCACACCATACAAACACGTTCATTCTTCTAATTCCACACTTTATTCATATTTTTCAGGAACTGCGGTCGACCGTAACCACGGCAGTGCCTCCGAGGGAGGTCCTGTTTCTGTTTCCTGCCACATTCATTCGTCTAATATTCACGTTTCACTGAATCCGCTTCTGCCAGCTAATGCTCCTCTAAGCCCCAGACGTCCTTTTAAACTGGCCATATTTATTGCGCGACCGCTGATACGTAAAGGACAACAGGCGTGTCTAGCTCGTACGCTGGAGACCCCTGCCATCGATGTTTGTTGTATCCAGGTGACTCGCATCCAAGACCCCACCTCAGTCGTTCGACTGATGCCCCCATCCAATCCTTCTGCAAAGTTGCACTTGCGTTTTTCTGAGGACCCTGAGGCTGCAGCTACTTATCTTGCTGGTGTAGGCGTAGCTCTCAGTGAAACGGCTGTGGCTCAGACTGAGGATGCGCTACTTGACTGACTCCCAGCTGACGGTCGGTTTTGCGTAGTGAGACTTAGAAGCCCCCACAAAGTAAGTAAAGGCCGTCCCGATAGACGTAATTTATTTGTCGTCTCCGCTCAGGCCCCTACAGATTGCAGCCCAGATGCAATCAAGGACGCCTTCTACCAAAAGTTACGCGACCTCATTCGCAAAGCAAACCGGAGTTATATCGCGATTTTAGCTGAAGACATGAAAGCTAGAGTCGGTCGGTTGTCTTCGAATGAGGCGCATTTAGGAAGCGCTTTTTGCCTCGATTCCTATCGTTCAAAAAACGGGGAACGGTTGTTGTCTCTGTGTTTAGGTCACCACCTGTTTCTCGGCAGTACAAACTTCAGACGTTCTAATCGCCGGTACGCCACGTGGCGTCCGCCCTCTTCGAGTCAGCAATGGACCCAGACAAACCACGTCACAATTAGTTACGAATGATGGGGCTGCATACGAGACTGCCGGTCGTACTGGAGTACTCCCGTTCGACTCCGACCACGCGTTAGTCTGCACTAAATTGTCCATGTGCTTCGGTGGGCATGCCAAACGTACGATGCAGCAGCGGTCAGACTGTGATGTGCTGTCTGATCCATCTTGCCTCACAACTTTCCGAAACGCGATGGCTGAAAAGCTAAGATCAACGCCACCAGATAACATCAACTAGCACTGGTCGCTTATTTAGAATGCTTTCTATTCTCCTGGCAAAGTGAGTTGTGACTTGACTCGTGGTGCCGTAACACTCTTCGACTTTGTCGATAGGTCTGTACCATGACACTGCTTGTTACGAAATGGATCACCCGAGAGGTGTGTGTCGGGCCTCAGGTCGGATTGGGGCTTGTGGCCAGCTTTCGCCACCCTTTGCCATCTCCAGTGGAGTACGACAAGACTGCTCCGTATTCCAGTTTCTTCTCAAATTTGCTATAGAGTTTGTTTTACAGGACACTGTCTGGTCTTCTGAATGGTGAGGTAAAGCCCTTTCCGGGAACAGAGTTTTTGACTTGGAGTACGCCGATGATATCGCCTTGCTGAGCGACAGTGCACAGGCAATTCAGCAGCACTAGATCGCATGTCGATTGAGGTGTCCCGATGTGGCATGGGATTGCGCCTTCAAAATGCAAAGTATTTCTTCAAGACTGACAGGAGTCTGTGCCTGTATTCACCCTTTGTGATGATCAACTAGAGGTAGTCAATAGGTTTAAATACCTCGGGAGATTGATCACTACTGGTGGTGGTGTTAGGGAAGAGATCACATAGCACATTGCGAGAGTCAGAGCAATGACGAACATGCGCCATCTGTGGGGCCGCCATGACATCCGGCTTTCCATCAAGGGAAGGGCGTACAGTGCCACAGTTCGTAGTTTTGTTCTTTACGGTCGCGAGGTCTGGCCCCTCCGCATTAAGGATGGTCGGCGGCTTTCTGTACTCAACCACCGATGTCTCCGAAGCATTGCTCGTGTCTGATAGGAACACCGAGTGAGCAATGACGAGGTTCGTCGTCGTGTGTTCGATACTGATAGTCGCTCTCTGACCGAGATAATCGCTCTACACCGCCTCCGGTGGCTCGTGTACGTTTTGCGCATGCCTGCCCATCGCTTACCCTTTCGTGCACTTTTTGCACGTGCTGGACAAGACTGCAAGAAGTGATGAGGCAGTCAGACTATGACTTGGCGTAAGGGAATGAAGAATTTAGTTTCGGCTTTGACTTTGGTTGGTGCTTCCTGCCTTCCTGGTTCGGGCCCACGAGATGAGGATTACCGTTGGTTAGAGACGCTAAGAAATATGGCTTGGGACTGAATCCAGTGGCGCGAATGCTGTATGGCCTGACTGCTGACTTTCTGTTCCCGATAAATAATTGAACAGACAAAAAAATTTACAAAACGTGAACGGTGAAAATACTGGAAAAAATGTGCTTTTACTTGTTGGGATCTTTATGATGACTCTGAATCCCCTTCCCGATTTTGTGGTTTTTTCTGTTGTTGGTACCAAGCTTGTTGTCAAGCCGATGGTATATACTTATATAGTGTTCAGTAGGGGTAAATGCAACCGATTATGCCATGTTTCCCGCTACTCGGATCCGACGGCTCATTTTCTACATATGTTCGTCCGTTGAATTCCGCAATCGTCTTACGCGGCCATCAGTTTTTTCCTAAAGAATTTGACACCCCCCTCGACTTTTCACCTTTTCAGGGTATTGGTCGAAGAAAGGTTCCTCAGCCGTATCTGCCTGCCAATAGGCGCCAGAGAGAGGATGGACCGCGGTATCAGGCTTCTCGTTGGACTCCGTATGTGAAGGATATCATGGAGGTGAGTGTTTATTCCAGCAGGAGTTGATGGCGTTTTCAAATATTGTTGACTGTCTTGTTTCACTCCTATTGCTATAGTTTACTGGTTTTCTTTCAAAACCCGCCTTCCAAATCGTTTGTGACTCTGAGCATCATGATCGAGTGTCGTGGCTAGTCCTGCTTCCGTTCACTGTGATGCACCGTTGTTACCCTTCAGTCTACCTGCTAATCATTTTTCATGTTTTGAATTCTGTGGATGCTCCTTGTCATTCCGTGACTTATTGCCTGAACAGAACTCATGAATAATAACACAAGATGGCGATCAATCTCGTTTTTTCAGTGATTCTTAATCATACCATTTCACCACATTTTATACGAATAGTGTTAAGCGAACAAAGCGAAACTGAACATGGGGTGATGATTCGAATGTAAAACAGAGAACAGACGGAATTTCACTCGCGTGACCTATATCCATCTGTAGACAGTGAGTTGGTGTCGTTGTTGTCACTATTCTGATCGTCGGATCTGTGCATTGTTTGTGGTTAGGAGTGGGTCAAGGAATGTTTGCTTACACGAACTGTTTTTGAGCACATCACGACGGATTGTATAGATGGATGCATACCACTTCCTTTGTGGCAAAGAAGCGGCGCCAGTCTTGATTGTTCACTAAGAACTTAATAGATTGGTCGGAACGCCCTCGTCACGTTCACTCAGTGGTTAGACTCAAATAGGCGTGAGCACACAACACCCATAATTACTTGAGTTACTCCGGTACGTTTTTTACTTTCTCAGCTAGGTTATCAAATCTGGCCTTTTTGGTTACCACAATTATCCGAGTCTTGTTTTTCAACTTTCAGGATGTTTGTGAAGACAAATTAGATGGAAAACTGTTCCAATATTTCGGTGGTGGTCCTGTCCGTGGCCCAGGTGCTCGAGGTGGCGCTGGTGCGGCTCCCATGTCTGCTCGGTATGGTCTTTGGCATCGGGACAAGAGTCAACAACCTCGTTCCGGACCGCGACTAATTTTTTTCATAGTTGGCGGTGTGTCCTACTCGGAGATGCGTTGTGCGTACGAGGTAATGAATACCGCTTCCGGGAAACAATGGGATATTGTAATAGGCGGGACGCATTTGCTGGTACCCGAGGCGTTCCTGGGTGACTTGGAGAAATTGTCCTATCCACCGGGAGCCGCTCCACCAGCGCTGGCTGGAGGAAACGCAACAACAAATGTGGTAGTCGGTGCTGGAGGCGAACCAGTTTAAATTGTCCTCACTCATATGTCCATGACGCATCCTACGTGAACGTACTTTTCCTTCTGTTGCACTATTTTGTGATCCAGCTCCGGACTTTTCAACTTGCCACCAGCATCACCTCCATCAATCTTTTCTGCTCTGGGCACTCCTCTACCCTCATTTTTGTTGCTTTTACCACTCTCACTCAAAATCTATAAGTTTACGTTGTGATCCTTAGTTGTTGTTATTACTATCTCGATTGTTGCCCAATCTGTGTGATCCTTCTGTTTCATTCACATCACAGTTATCCATAGGTACTTTGGCTTCACGTATCATCACTGTCCCGGACACTAGCCTATCTTGGTCTGTAGGATCGGGCATATGGTGACCCGGTTGTCTTGCGAGATGTGTTCTTTCTTTCGTTCATTCGTTCCATCTCTTTCTTCCTCGCGGCCGCTGTCAGGGTACTTGCAGTTCAGCTCATTGCATTTCCACCACAATCACGGTTTCCCAATCTGCACCCTTCTTTCTCCCCATCCTCTTCAGTTTTGTTTTTCTTGCCCACTCGTGCAAATCGTGTTCTAGCAAACACCGGTTCAGTACCACAATGCAATTATTGGTGTCAGATTGATTTGACAACCTATCGACCTTTATCGGCGAAAGTACGCTGAAAATTACTTGTCCCATTCTTATATTATTTGTCATGATTATCTTCATTACTATGGCCGTCCTCATATCTGTTCCTTTATCATTTTCTTTCAGCCATGACACTCAGAGTATACCATACTTATTCCTACCGTTCTGCCACTGTCATCGTCAAAGATGTCCATTCGGAGTGGACTTCGGATCAGTTATCGAGAAGTGGTCTTTCATTTATCCAACCCATTTTCTCTGTATCTTAAAATCTGGGCTCTTTCCTCACTACCTTACCCCATCCTTCCCCGGTTTCGCTCTGGCGCGAGCGACCGTTGTGTGTATGACTGGGTAACCCAGAGGGTATTCATCGCGCGTTGCAGCCGCGTCCACTGATCATGAGGTCTTCGATGCTAACCTTTCGCTCATATTCACCTATCTCAACCCTCATGTTAGGCGTGCGCGAATATGACAGTTCCTTCACGCACGAGAACACATTCCATATTTCTTTTTACTCTATATGTGCCTATCTAATCAGTGTTATCGTTATGCTTTTGTTTTTATCTTTCTTTTGTTCTCTATCGAATCATCAGTTCGTTCCGTTTTCCGTCGGATACATCTAGCTATGATCACATTTGGATTACGACATTATCAACATGATACAGTCACCCTCAGCCCCTCCCCCACACGAATGAATACGGATAGACATATATTCCTATTCGCACAAGTGGTCGATTTCATACGGCCTGTTTTTTTCTTTGGGTGGTATCGTCTAACCTAATAGGACACAATCTGTCGGGTATAGTGGGTACCTCATTATCACTAGGTCATGAGCTCGCAACCTCTGGTTGAACCTGACGGGCTTTGATTATCATGTGGCTGGCTGAGTTGATTCATTTCATGTTTGTGTATGTATGTCAGTCCATTTCAGTTCAGTTCAAACAACCAATAAACATGCACTGGGTCTAGCAGTCCTGGTTACAATATCTCATCTAGAAATCGAAACAATTAAGTATAAGGCAAAGTAAGGAGAAAATAACCGGCAGAAGTTTCAAGTGGGTGAAGCAAGTGTATGGTACGGAAACGCCTCGGCTCGTGACATCTAGTTATGTATTCAAATTCCACCAGTCGGTGTGGGTGGATCTGTCGGACGCCTGAAAGTTTACTGGCTAGGATTTTTGTGCTTTTTTTCCCGGGTGATGAACTGGTCATCCCTACTCATTTTCCAACCGCTATTTGCTTTAGGGAAAGCAACCCATCGCGATATTCTTTCCGGCGACGTGCACAACATGCCTGTGCAGCGTACGTCCGGTTAGCTTTGGCGTTTCATCTCAACATTGGTGATGCAGTGTTCCCATTAGATTCGAGGAAAACTAAGAGGACATCAGTGGTCGAATAACAGTAAATTTCGTGTCTTCCACCAGTGGTAGGTACGTTTCTGAATCACATAAAAGGACTGGTCTAATTGCTAAAATGTGCACTGGACCCGTGATGGATAAACAGATGGCACTTCGACGCACCAGAAGGATTAGGGTTGATTAAAACAAAGCGTAGTATCACGGCTAGCAGTTCGACCCCCGCCTGCAACGAAGATGTCTAAATAAAAAATGGTCTACTGTTTCCGCAACCCCTTTAATTAGGAGGAACAAAACGCATAGCGGACATCGCCACGCAGTTAATTAGGCTGGTTGGGGTTGTGTTGATCACAATTCTGCTCTTCGACGAATTTCTGAGCATGGGCACCTTCCGTCGGCTCACTATCCTCGTTTTTCTTGGCCTTAAAACGGCCTTCGATTCGGTCGACCGCGCAGTTCTGTGGTGCCAGAGAAATTCATTTTTACCGTACATTCCCTTTACATGAACAGTCGAAGTCGGATCCGTATTTACGTTGCTCTTTCACCCGAGTCCACCACAGAAAGTGGTGCACGTGAGGGTTGTCTCCTTTTCTCATTAACTGTAGAAGGGGATCAAAGCGCGTTTGAAAATGAACAAGCTGGTTAAAAAGGATAGGTCAAGCCCATTGGAATAACCTACTGTTTTGCACAAGAACTGATCAAGACTTGCAATGGGATAGTTCGGAACATTATCCCTTAACCAACTAATATCATCGACGGGAGTATCTGGTGCAACATAAAATTGACGAAAACAAGATGTCTAAAGGAACTTAGAAAAGGTAGTCTTCAACAAACTGCAGTGCAATTGACTTCCATCGTGCTGAATTGAAATGAGAGGTGAGATAATTTGCGCCACGTGACGAATAAACGTGAAAACCCCACCTAATCGGTTTCTTGAAAACTTCAAACCCATCAACATGAACAACACCATTGTCAATTTCTTTGTACAACCAGCTTTTCGGAAGGGGAATTGCCTCGAGATTTTGCGACTCTTTATGAAAGGGGATATTGGATACTTCGAAATTCTCCTAAAGTGAACGAACATTTGAAGATGATATTGACGGTATTAGCATTTTGCAAACAGTATCATTTCTTGGAGCTGCTTTCAAATCAGCACGGTATTTCCTTGGGTGCTCACGTACCTTCCGAAGCAAACATTTTACACGATTTCTGACTGCATTCAAAGATGCATGAAATCGTTGCAAAGCGCCATCTCCTTTTCCATTTAACTTTGATTGATATGGTCAGGTGAGTGAGTGGAAAGGTGTCAGACCTTGAATATGCGGATGACGTAGTCCTTCTAAGTGAAGATCCACGTAAGTTGCAAGCTTTTCAGGACAGCCTGAGTAACTGTGTGGCAGTGTCCGGTATGCGTTTTGCACTTTCAAAGGGCAAGATGATGTTGCGGGATTGGGCTGATCCGACACCAAACCGTTCAGTGTCTGGTGAGACTATAGACCTGGGAGACACGTTATTTGGGCAGCTGCAATACCCCTGGAGGTCGCATATCGGTTGAGTTGTTCTTGCGTATACACAAGGCTCGTTTGGCATTCGCTAATGTGAGTCATCTGTGGCGTCGGCGTGACATCTGTTTATCTATCAAAGGTGGAGTGTACGCTGCAGCAGTCGGGCCAATGGTTTTTAGTGGTTCAGAAACAAGGCCACTGTGAATGGAGGTTATACGAAGATTGTCAGTATTTGAGCACTGGTGTTTTCGCAGAATTTTTCGAGTCTGGTTTGAACACTATACGGAGTGCTGAGGTTCGGTGGAGAGTTTTAGTTTCACGACCAAATTATTAGACGAAATACGTAAGTTCTCCAGACTAAGATGTTTGGAGCATGTGTGACACATACCGCTTTATAAGATTCCTCGGAGCGTATTGTTTGCTGAGACGACTGGGGGTTGGAAGATTAGTGAGGATGGTCAGTCCACGACATGGAAGAATGGTATGGAATACCTAACATGTGAACTCGGTCACGTAGGTCGAGTTAGACTTCCTTGATAGGGTCCAAGAAACCCTCCTAGTCAGTGGTTAGAAGCGTTAAGAGGAAATGTCTAGGTGTCGCGATCAGTGGCGCTTACGTAGCCACAAACTTTCTTTACCGACTGGTCATAGTATTTGGATTTTCCCTACTGGTCCTTTCGTCTTCCTGTCCGTTATTTCCGTTCGAGGTGTCGCCAGGCGATAGCAACCAAAGCCACCACACTGTCTGGTAATGGTTGTCTTTTTTGAACTGATCTGAATTATGCTGTTCATATAAGTTGGAAACTTAACTGTGTATTCATTAAGAATGACTGCATTGCCCGCTCAATCGCGGTCGGAATCGTTTCTAGGTAAAAGGTCAGTACCGCTATCGTCAGGCGATAAGAGTTTATCTCTAGGACCACAGTAAATACGAGGGTAAATGGAAGAGAAAAAACAGCAATACCAGTGTGCACTACTCGTCTTGATGAGTTTAGGTGAAAGTCCAAAGTAAGCCTGTTTGTGTACGTACAGGTGATTTGTGGTGGTAATGAATCGCTCCGATACATTCTTCAATAGGAAGCGGCACCAGAGAATTGTGCCGTCTAGTGATTTGAAATCCTCTTGCAGGTCAAGGAAGCAGTCGATGAGCTTACGAAAGGTTGCCCTGTTCAAAACAGTCCTATTTGTGCGTCAGTAATGTGAGTGGAAGTGATAAGGTTTAGTGAATTTTGACTAATGAAATCATAAGCGAAAGCACCATCACTTCGAAACTTTACAACAATCTCAATGACTTCTAGTAGACTGGCTGTCCGGTGGATGAGTCGTTATAGAAATGAATCTTAAATTCCGACCTCGCGCTCTCTCGTCGCATCCAACATCTGAAGGATGAAGCCAGACAGACTGTAAGAGTGCTTGGGTGCGAAAAATAGGACCTTGTAGCTTCTTGACACAAATCCTGGAGTGGGTCTGTTGTACATAACCACGGCCTGTTCCTAATTCTGATTTAAAACATGATGAATCTTGATTACAACCAGAA